GCACGTACATGCCAACGGGTGCCAGACCGGAGCCAGGGCAAGCTGCTTTACAATAAACCCTCGGCTGCTTGAATGCTGATTTCCATCACCGCAGATCTGCAATGCCCGTAAGCCCAAGCGCTGCACCAACGTCATCAGCTTGCGTATAAAAAGCGACGCGCCAGCCAGCCAGCAGGGCCTGGATTGTTTTGCCAAGACGCCCCGTCTTTCTCTCTTCGCTCTTCTGTGCTGATACTTTTTTGAATTCCCAACCCGTCCCTTTTCCCAATGAACTCTCTTGTTTCTCTCGCTTCGCGAAATGCGCGTCTGGCAACGCAGCGGACGCCGGCGCTCCTGGGCGCACTGTGCCAGTCACGGCTGATGGCAACGAGCTCGCAAGGCCTCGGCTTCCGCAACAGCAGCAATGGCGGAGCGCGCGGCTCGCAGCTCGGGCAGCCAACCCGCCGCCGCCTGCCGTCGAACACAATTGTCAAGTTTGTGCCCCAGCAGGAGGCGTGGGTGGTCGAGCGCATGGGCCGGTTCTCGCGGATCCTTGACCCCGGGCTGGCCATCTTGGTGCCATTCCTGGACCGCATCGCCTACACACAGTCGCTGAAGGAAGTGGCAGTGGAGATCCCGACGCAGAGCGCCATCACGCAGGACAACGTGACGCTGGAGCTGGACGGCGTCCTGTACTACCGCGTCATGGACCCGTACAAGGCGTCGTACGGCGTGGCCGACGCCGAGTTCTCGGTCGCGCAGCTGGCGCAGACAAACTATGCGTGCGGAAATTGGCCAGATGACGCTGGACACGACGCTGGCCGAGCGCAACACACTGAACCACAACATTGTCAACGCCATCAACGCTGCGTCCGAGTCGTGGGGCATCGCCTGCCTGCGCTATGAGATCCGCGACATCCACCCGCCGTCCAAGGTCGTCGAGGCCATGCACTCGCAGGTCTCAGCCGAGCGCAGCAAGCGTGCGCAGATTCTCGAGTCCGAGGGAGCGCGCCAGGCAGCCATCAACGTGGCCGAGGGCTCCAAGCAGGCGCAGATTCTGGCGTCCGAGGCCGAGAAGGCCCAGCAGATCAACCTGGCCCTTGGTGAGGCCGAGGCGATCCGGCAGACCGCGCTGGCGGAGGCGGAGGCCATCTCCCGCGTCGCTAAGGCCATTCGTGGATCTGATGGCGGCGAGATGGCTGCTGGCCTGCATGTTGCGCAGCAGTACGTCGAGGCGTTTGGCAAGATTGCCAAGGAGTCCAACACAATTGTTGTGCCTGCGTCTGCCAACGATATCTCTGGCATGGTTGCCCAGGCACTGACTGTGTTCTCGTCGGTCACTGATAACCAGAAGCGCCAGTCTGCCAAGAGCAAGCCTGCCCTGGTTGAGGCCGCGCCCAAGGGCAGCCCCTCGTAGGAGTAGAGTTGTGTGACCCTTCTTTTTCGTTAGCGCATTTTGATACACACTCACGTTAACCCCCAGGGTCTGCTTCCCGCTGTTTGCAGTAGGAGGGACTGTGGTCCTGAAGCCAGAAAAAGACAAGCCTGCGGACCGGTGGCTCATCAGAACAACCGTGCTCAAATATTTTGCTCTAGCCTTATGAGTCACTGGAAAGTGCGCTCTCCAATTTGCCCTCGTCGCCACCCGAGAATGGAGGCTCCACAGAGAGCCTGCTCTCCCTTTCTCCTCTTCAAAGTCGCCATTCCATTCATTATCAGCACTGCTGCTTTTTCCCTCCGTCCTTTGTAAACGTATCTCCGATCGCTTGAACCATGTCCCTGACCACTTCACTGCCAGACGTCGGCGACCGCATGCTCTTTGCTGTGCCGAAAAAGGGGCCGCCTGTACGACCACTGCCTGGGCCTGCTCAACAACATTGGCATCGAGTTCAACCGCAAGCCGCGCCACGACATTGCTCTGGTCTCAAACCTCCCAATTGCGCTGGTGTTCCTGCCGGCCGCCGATATCGCCACATACGTGGCCAAGGGCAACATCGACATTGGAATCACAGGCCTGGACATTATCCGCGAGTCACAGACCGAGGAGGACGTGACCGAGCTGATGCGCCTTGGATTTGGCAAATGCAAGCTGCAGGTGCAGGCGCCGGTAGCCAGCGCGGCAGCCTCAGCCCAGGACCTCGTCGGCAAGCGGATCGTGACCAGCTTCATCAACCTGACGCGGAAGCGGTTTGCTGAGCTGGAAGGTGTCAGCGAGGACGAGATGAGGACGCAGGTGCGGTTTGTGTCGGGCAGTGTCGAGGCTGCATGTGGACTTGGCCTGGCCGACGGCATCGTCGATCTGGTTGAGTCTGGCGACACCATGCGCGCCGCGGGCCTGCACGCCATCGACACGATCCTGGATACCGAGTCGGTTCTGATCACCAACAAGCACATGCGCTTCCCCGACATGGCCCAGATCATCCGCCAGCGTGTCGAGGGCGTGATGACCGCCCGCCGGTTTGTGCTGTGCCAGTACAACATTGCCCGCGAGGGGCTCGAGAGGGCCTGCGCGATTACGCCAGGCCGCCAGGCGCCCACCGTCACGTCGTTGGAGCAGCCCGGGTGGGTTGCCGTCAGCGTCATGGTCGAGAAGAAGCAGCTGGCCGACAAGATGGACCAGCTCAAGCTGGCTGGTGCCACCGACATTTTAGTCCTTCAGATTGCCAACGCCCGTGCATGAAACATAACTGATTAGATTTTCTGCTGTGATTCGTAAACATCCCGTCAGTTTGGAACCGGTTTATGCACCAGCAGGTGCCGTTATGCGCCGGTTGATGCCAGCCCAATACAACCCAGACCGAGATCGACTGACACATCCTGTCACTCGCTTCTGCTGGAAAAGTGCATGTTGTGTTGTTTGCCAAACTCTCGTGAACATTCCATGTTCCTCTCTGCAATCGTGCTGTTGAGCCTCTCCTGCGGCTGTCAACAATCGATGGCAGCTTCGCAACAGTATTTTTACCGCATGTTACTGGCAAGGTGTGGAATGCTTTATAAGCATGTCTTCCCGAGAGAGCTGCTTCATCTTCATTCGTCCCTTTGCTATTACACCTTTGCATTTCCTCGATAACTCATCCATGAGAACCAACGATATCGCCGTCGCTATCTTGTCGCTGGTGGGCCTGTCGGCTGCCTTCATTGACGACACACGCAACCTCAAGTGGAGCACTCTTGGCGGCAAGAAGACACGCCTCATCGGCCACCGCGGCGAGCGTGCATTTGTGCCTGAGCACACGTATGCGTCGTACTGGCAGGCAGCGCTCGAGGGCGCCGACTTCATCGAGCCCGATCTTGCCCTGACACGCGATGGCCAGATCGTTGTTAGCCACAACCTGTGGCTGGGCGAAACCACCAACATCCGGGACATTCCCGAGCTGCAGAAATACAAGCGCAACATCACCTGGCCTGACTCCAGCGGCCATGTCTACGAGCTGACCAACGAGTACTTCATTTTTGACATGACCCTGGAAGACATCAAGAAGGTGCGGGTCATGCAGTCCGATGTGGAGTACCGCCCGCAGATCTACAATGGTCTGTTTGGGCTGCTGACCTTTGACGAGTACCTGAGCACTATGCGCGAGCTGACGGTGAAGCTGGGCCGGCCGTTTGGTGCCATCCCGGAACTCAAGATGCCCAAGATTTACAACATGGGCCGTCCTTATCCCCGCTACTTTGAGGACCGTGCTATCATTACTCTGAGCCACTATGGCCTAGCGAACATTACAGGGAACATCGACAAGAGCCAGCACTCTGACCTCATTCTGAGCCCGGTTGCTCCCCTGCCTGCTGGCTCTGCACTAGGCCCAGCTGTCTGGCAGTGCTTTGACCAGGACACCTCTGCGTACCTTGCCAACAACACGGATGTGCCTGTTGCTGCACTCGACGATGTCACGCCAGCCTTCTTCACACCCAAGGGCCTGGACGCCGTGGCCAAATACGCCAAGATTGTGGCTCCCTGGAAAGATTTCTTTGTCACTGGCGCCGAAGCCTCGCTAAAGGCAAAGGGCGTGACATGGAATGCCACCGAGATCGCGGCCATGGGCGGCTTCATAGCCCCCGACCAGCTTGTGAAGGAGATCCACAGCCGCGGGATGGAGGTGTGCCCATGGACGTTCTACAACTCAAAGGAAAGCCTGTCGTACCTGTGCCAGGAAAAGGGCATCAAGCCGGCCAGCCGCAGCGGGTTCTGCCCCAAGGACAAGACTGAAGAGTTCTTCTACTTCTTCGAGCAAGGCGCTGACTACATGTTTGTCGAGGACATTGTCGAGGCAAACATCCTGCGCACGTTCTTTGCCAACAAGCTCGAGAACAAGCAAAACCAGCGCTTGGACAGCTAGATGCTTTTGGCTAGCCAGCTGTTGCTCAATCGATCGAGCCTTTTCTGTGTTCCTGAGCAACGATCCCTGTGAAACCGCAAGCTGCAGATCAGGCTGCCAAATCGATTGCCAAAAACCCGCCCCATGTGTTTCTGCCAGTGTTGACTTTACTCCACCTCCCCCAATTCTAGTCGCCACAGCCGGACACGCACGTTTGTGTGTATGCGGCCACATTACAGTGCACGTGCGCTAATGCTGGCGCTCAGAGATGCGGTAATGACATTATCAAGAACCTCGCCATCGCCAGCCGGGTATCACAGTACAAAAGCGGTATCTGCAAAGCGGCCCTGTGCTAGACCAGTAGCGAATCGCAGCAGCGCTCATGCCACCTCGCATTGGCCCTCGTGCGAATCTTATAGTGTTTGCCCGCAACATGTCAATCGCCCTCCCTCCATAATCGGTTTTTTCTACAGATTATTGCTGCCAGACCGCTGATTTGCTCGCCCCCCATCCATCCCCGCGCGTGAAAGTTGCTCGGCACTCTGTACTATTAGCATCAGACCGCCCCTCCTCCTGCTACCCGCCCGCACGTATATAATGGAGCAGACGCGCATGTACCAGCCCCACCGGTCGTTCTCGCGCACCCCGATTATCACACTATCAGTTATTTCTATAGCCCTAGTCGCTCTAATCACAATCCACAGAATGAGGATCCACGCACTCGCCTCCGCGTCGCTGGCCATCATCGGCACCACATCAGCCTTCATCGACGACACGCGCGATCTCAAGTGGAACACGCTGGATGGCAAGAAGACGCAGCTCGTTGGGCACCGCGGCGAGAAGGCATTCATGCCCGAGCACTCTCTCGGCTCGTACTGGCAGGCCGCGCTCGAGGGCGCCGACTTCATTGAGCCCGACCTGACTCTGACCAAGGACGGCCACCTGGTTGTCAACCACAACGAGTGGATTGGCGACCTGACCAACGCCAAGGAGATCCCTGAGCTGCAAAAGTACCGGCGCAACCTCACGTGGACCGACGACGACGGCACGTTCCATGACATCAAGAACGAGTACTTTATCCACGACATGACCCTGGAGGACATCAAGAAGGTGCGCACACACCAGGCCAACATGACGTTCCGCCCGCAGATCTACAACGGCTACTTTGGGCTGCTGACTTTCGAGGAGTACCTGCAGACGATCCGCGAGCTGACCGTCAAGCTGGGCCGTCCGTTCGGCGTCATCCCCGAGCTCAAGTCGCCAAAGCTGTACAACACCAACCGCACCTACAGCCGCTACTTTGAGGACCGCGCCATCATTACGCTGAACCACTACGGCTGGGCCAAGATCACCAAGAAGATCAACACCGCGGCTCACAAGGACCTGAAGCTGGCGCCAGTCAAGCCGCTGCCGGCCGGCACCAAGGTCGGTCCCTCGGTCTGGCAGTGCTTTGACCAGGACACGGCAAAGTATCTGTCCAGCCACACTGATGTGCCTGTCGTTGCCCTGAACGAGAACACGCCTGCTTTCTTCACGCCCAAGGGTCTCGACCAGGTTGCCAAGTACGCCAAGATCGTCTCACCGTGGAAGGACTTCTTTGTCACTGGCGCCGAGGCCTATCTGAAGTCGCAGAACATCACCTGGGATCCTAAGGAGATCAAGCGCCTTGGTGGCTTCATCGCGCCCGACCAGCTGGCCAAGGAGATCCACAAGCGCGGGATGACGATCTCGCCGTACACGTTCTACGACTCGCACCAGAACATGCTGTACCTGTGCCAGGACCCAAGCATCAAACCGGCCAGCCGCAGCGGATTCTGCCCCAAGAACAAGACCGAGGAGTTCTTCTACTTCTTTGACCAGGGCATGGACTACATGTTTGTCGAGGACATTGTCGAGGCAAACGTCCTGCGCATCCTCTACGCCAACAAGCTGGAGAACCAGCAGCGCAAGGGCTACTATGCTGCTTAAACCGTATGTTATTGGTACAAATTGAGATATTTACTCCTGCGGGTTCTTGGCTGGATAGACAATGTTGCCAGTGCACTGCTTCTTGGGCACGCCAACTTCGTTCTTGGGAATAGCAATAGGCACGTACGAGGTGATGTCCTTGACGTTGAAGAACGTGCGGATCTCGCTCAGCACATTTCCGTTGCACCGCAGGTCAACTGCGATATTGTACTTCTTCTCGATCGCGTCGGTGATCTGCTTTGGTGTATACGTCTCCTTGTCATCAGGCACAACCCCGCCTTCCTTGAGTGCAGTGTAAAAGTCATACTTTTTGTTCAGCTCCAGTGCCCGTCCAAAGTACTCGACAGCATCAGCATTGCTCTTTTTCGGTGCGGGATAGCACTCGGGGTTGAGTGTGCTGGCGCATGTCCCGTGCTTGTTCCACTCCTCCATCCAGAACTGGCCGTTGCTCGCACCGCGCGACGGCCAGTACATGTTCATCTGATCAAGCAGGCCGTTCTTCTTCAGAATCTCGGTCACCTTGGGGCTCTTCAGCCGACGGTCCGACTTGCCGCAGCCAGACGGCGGTGCTGGCCCATTCGCACAGGTGTTGGGCCACAGTCCGTGGATGGTGAATCCAGGTGCCTGATTTAGCGTCTTGTCCCACTGGACCGAAAACAGGTGGACTCCATACTCCTCATAGCAGCAGGTGCTCAGTCCCTTGATGCTGCTCGAACACGACTCGGGCTTTGATGGGCACTTGTCGCGGGTAACAGGCTCGATGGTCTGCTCCTCACTTGGCGACGATGCGGTGCCAGCTGGCGGCGAGGACTTGGGGGCATCAGCCTGTGTCTTGCTGCCCTTCTTCTTGTCCTTGGTTGGAGTGGTCGAGGTCTTGCTTCCGCTCCCGGCCTTGCTATCGCTACCTGTGCTCTGCTTCTTGGACCCGCCCTTGGTGGTGCTGCTGCTGGTCTTACCCGTCGACGCGGAAGTCTCCTTGCCGGCCTTGTTCCTTGCCGCGTGGACAATTTCTGGGTATGCCAGGAGAATGACGCAGGCGATAAAGGTAATCAGAATGAGACGCATTTTTGAAGAGTTTTTGATGCAGTTGAAGTTGATGTGAATGCAAATGTATGGATGCTGTTGATGTTGATAAGAGAAAGCTGTATCCATACTCTGCCACCCTTTTTATATGTCCGACACCTAGTGGGATCCAGGCACTTATCCTGACTGCCCTGATCCAGCCAAGAGCTGGCACGAACGCTCACCACATACAAAGCCCATCAGCCCTCTTTGTGGCAATCGGTCTCCTTGAGACCGATCCAGGAGATTGCCGAGTATAGCAGCAGCAGATTCTATTCCGAGAACCTCGTGTAGAAAATCACAATAAAAATAGATTTCTAAATGTAATCGCAGAGAACGGTGTTGTAAACCCGTTTTTGGCAGACCAAGATTCGCTAGCCCAACTGGCAGATACAGCCCTCGAATACATTTAGTTTTCTGAAATTGAGTCAAGCATGCTCCACATGTAGCTCAGCGGTTTGGCTCTGCATTAACAGGAACCAGTCCTCTCGGTGGCTGGTTCAGCGTACACTTTTCTGTTTTGCGATGAGCCAGTGGTAGATGGTTCCGATGGCATTCATTCATCCGGCTGTGAGAAACAGCCTTTACAATGCACACACGCTAGCAGTTAGTGTAGTTGCTGTGGAGACATGGTAGAAAATAGACGGTATTGCTACAGAACAGTTTCAGCAACAGCTATAATGCGGTTCCATATTATCAGGATTATTTATTCAACAAAATGGATGCAGTCACTTTTTAAAGTACAGGAACTTGCTGGCGCACGAGTCCTTGCTGTTGGGCTGGGTCGGAATGTAGGTGTTCAAATCCTGGACATTGAAGTACGCCCAGACCTCGCTGAGCTCGCTGACCCCTTGGACCCAGTCGAGGCACCCATGACGATGTCAGGCGAAGCAAGAATGGTGCAGGCGAGGAAAGTGATCGAGGCGAAGCCCATGGTAGCTGGATCGAGTTAGGGTAGAAATGTTTTGCGTGTTAATGCAGAGTCTTGTTGACAATGCAGGCGTTTGCCGAAATTAATGATGATGAGTATCTACATGGCAGATGCGTAAGCCAGCTTGCCTTTTATACAGGCGACGTATCCATTTCCAGGGCAACTCTGCCTGCGATCGCCGGTTGTGCCAAGGGATCCACGATGGATATTGGGACCACTCATGGCAGAAGCTAATGCGATGCTGCAAAGACACCTGTCTCTGAAGATTCGGATATCGCCATAAAAGTTGGGATTTCCCGCGTGGTGGCTGCCTGTAAACTGGGGCCTTCTCCAGCCTACATGCTAAGAACAGAATAGCGTTTGGCAATCCCGCTGTGAGGGTTCCTGTGGAGTTTTAACTTTAGCCTGTGCATATTCGTTAGGCAGTCGGTCTCTAGAAATAGTATCCTTGCCAGGACTGTCAAGGGAATCTCTTGAAGCGAGTTCAAACCTATGTAGCAGCAGCTGGAAGCTGCGATGATTCGCTGATAGCAGAAGACTTTGGAGATTAGCTACATGCATTTTACAGCTGTGCTCCTTTTACAGGAGTGATAGCAGGAGATAACAGCGAGCACAAAAGTGGTGGGGTTGAAACTACAGCCCACCTACTTATGCAGTATGGTAGTGGCTAAATGTATTGCTTATTAGTTCTCATCCATGATCAGATCTACACAGCACACGCTCACTGAGCTGCCAGGCACCTATATAAGCGGCTGCATACCTACACCAAGCTGGGGGACCTGTTAAGCTCCTCAATTGACACTCGTCAATATATTTAGGCACTTGCACATCAGTATATCTACTAACATTCGGATGGTATTCCATGATAGCATCGTAGGGACTTGACATGCCTCACTACCAATCCCTATCAGACTTCCTGATAGGCTGGTGGCGAGGTGTAAAGCGTACTGGACAGCAGCAGATAAATGCCATAGATGGACTACACTTGAGATTTCCATCATTCCCACGGAGATCTGCTGCCCAGCCCTTGGCTCCTGCTGCCTTACATGCGAAATAGCTCCTAGACCTTTAGTTTGGACCAGGGCCCATATAAGGCAGTGCCATCTGAAAGCGGACCGCACGATTTATCAAGGACGATTGCACTATTACTCCAGCGAGCTGGAAAATTGACAACAAACAGCACTGCTGATATGCAGCTAGCTCAAGAAGCCGATACATGTGAATTCAAGTGCATGCAGCTCTCGCTATCGTCTCTATCTCAGAAATGAGCGTGCTTTATACTTTGCATTCAGAGCAAGGAGGGCAAATTTTATCTCATTGGGGAATACCAGCTAGTAAGCCCGCCAAGTAATTGACGGTTCCAAGCAGAAAATAGTACTAGTACTTGGGCGGGTAGGTGAAGGTAGTGCAGGTATCGCTGACCCAGGTCGAGGTGGGGACGTAGGTGCTCTTGTTCTGCACGTTGAACCAGGTCCAGATCTCGCTCAAGGTGCCGCTCGAGCACTTGAGCACGACGTCAATTCCCAGCTCGGCCTTGATCGCAGCCTTGAACGCAGCGGCAGTGAAGGTTTTGCCCGTGGTTGGCACAATGCCACGGTTCTTCAGCGCATTATAGTAGTCATACTTGCTGCGCAGGCCCAGAACCTGGGCAAAGTAGTCGTTGACGTCCTGGTACTGCGTGTAGGACGTGTAGCAGCTTGGGTCAAGAGTGGTGACGCATGTGCCGTGCTTGCTCCACTCGTGGGACCAGAAGCTGTTGTTGTCGCCAGTGTATGACGGCCAGTACGTGCTCATTTGGTTGTAGAGGGTGGGGTTGTAGTTCTGAATGATGGTGCCGACGTTCGAGTAGACGCGGCTCGCATCACAGCCGCTGCTGGGAGTCAGTCCACCCGTGCAGGTATCCGGCCACAGGCCGTGCAGGGTGTACTGATCCGCCGGACCCAGGCCATTGTACCATTGCTGGACAAGGACGAGCAGGCCGTTGGTCGGCACACAGCAGGAGTCCATGCTGCTGGCTTGGGTCGAGCACGAGAGTACGGTGGTTGAGCAGGTCTGGGCGCTGATAGCTGAGATTGCTGCAGAGGCGGCGAGGAGCGAGGAGGCAAGAAGGCGCATTGTCGGTGCTTGTAGCTGTTGCTGGATTAAACGAGAAAAGTGTGAAGAGGGACCAGAGGGCTCTAGTAATGAGATGCTTCAAATCAAATTTCTACAGCCGCGGTCGCTGCTTATATAGCATTGTTGGGTCACGACAACCGGGCAACAGGGGCCATGTGCATGCTTCGCTTCCTTGTGGCCTATCCCGTGTCCACTGTGCACTATCGATGGAGGTCCCGACTTCTTCCCCTCCCTTACCAGTCTGGTCCAGGCAGGTTGCGCTTCCATCTTTGCATACGGGCAGTGCGGAGAATTACTCGCTCATCCAAGGCGGGGGGTTCGCGACATGTCTGCCGATGTACGGCTGCAGGGGGTGAGCATATATAAACTGGCTCCAGCCAGGCACACTCGATGTAGCATATCATTTCCACTAATGCAAACTAACCCACGTGCCAACCACATGTCTCGAACGACTGAAGAGATTAGCCCACCAGAGCTGGTTTAAGGTTGTCAGCTCTGCGTCGTGGGAGCCGGCAATCCAGTCTGCTAGTTGCTTGCTTTCTGGATGAGCGAATCGATGAAGCTGTTGCCGTTGATGATCTGCGTGGTCGCTGCAATGTAGCGGTGGTTGTGCTGCTGCGAGAGCAGGCGCAGAGCCGCAACCTCCGTGAACGTGCACCCGCCCAGGAACAGGACAAGCGTTGCTGGCGCCTTCTCACCCAGTCGCTGCACCACTGTGTCTGAGGAGAGCAGGTCGCCCTCGCGGTCGCTCCACTGGGTCACATCGACTGTTTCACCGGGCAGCTCAGCCAACACATCATCCCAGCCCTTCCACCCGCTCTTGACTCCACCCGACTGCAGGTCCTTCTGCGCTGGCCGAGTCGTGTCGCTGGACGCACCACCGCGGAGGAGCGACGAATACCGGCTGGCGGCTGAAGGCGACGTGTATACTGCTGGGTCGCGCACCAGGCACTGCAGCAGACGGACTGAAAGCGGGGCATACCCAGAGTAGACATATGAGATGTCATCGGGGTCATTCTCACGCACGTCGCTGTTGACCAGGTTCAGCGTTTTTCGCAAAAAGCTGAGCGAGTTGGAGTGTGCCGGGTCCCGTGGTTTTGTCGACGGCACAATGGAATTCAGAATGCCAGCACTGCTGACGTCGCCACCCGCCGCTAGCTTCAGTGCCGATGACTTTGCTGTCGAGCCTGCCGTGCCGCCACTGCTGCTGGCAGGCGACACAAGCAGCCCAACTGTCTCCAGGTTATCCAGCGTGATGGTGTGGTGATGGCCAAACGCGTCGACCAGCTCCTCGTACCACGCATCATAGACCTTCTGCTTGAAACTAGGCCCGCGCCATAGCGAGTACAGGCACATTAGACGCAGCACCTTGTGAATGCTGTTGGGGGCAGTGATTGGCGGTGTATCCTTGAGCTCACCATTGCAGCCCGGCACAGGTGCATGTGGGTCTGCCAGCGCAAACAACTTGTCGAGATACGCCAGCTGGTCCTTTGAAATGTCGCCATTGCTAACCAGCGACTGCTCGATCTCCAGAACGTGGTTAAAGTCGTCGGTTTGGGTCCGCTTAAGGATCGTCTCTGCCAGCGACACATGCGTTTTGAGTGACTGGTGTTCTGCCTGTAGGCCATTGAGCTTGCCCACAAAGCTCCGGATCTCCTGCACTGTCTTTGCCTTGTGGCGACTCTCGTACGTATCTTGCAGCTGCCGAGACATTTTGCTTAGCAGGCTGCCCACTCCGGCAAAGTTCATGTTGCGGATATCGCTGAATATCGAGTCGGAGCTGTTCAGCGCAATGCGCTTGCGCTTGGGCGCTGCCGCTGCCGCCGCTGCCTGCGTCGCCGAGCTCCCTGCTGCTGGGGCAGACCCCTGGTTTGCGTCGGACATATTCAGCGAGCTTAGTGACACATAGCCGCTATTTATACCGTACACCTCGCTGACAAGCCCCTCATAAGTCAACTGTGTCAGTAGCGGCGTTACCATATCCACGCCACGGTCGATAATCACCATGGAGTCA